GCAAATCCACAGAGTTCTTTTTTGGGGGGGTAGTACTGGGGTCTGAACTCATGGCCTCACAAATACTTATCAGGTTTGCTCACTTGATTGGTGCTCTACCAGTTGAGACATGTCTTCTGTTTTGCTTTTTGCTGGTTACTTTGGAGATTAAGTCTCTGGGACTTATCTTCCCAGGTTGGCTTTGAGCCATAGTCCTTTGGATTTCCAACTCATGAGAGGCTATGATTCCAGGGATGAGCTGTCAGCACCTGGATCACAACTAGTTTTACAATGTCCATTAGGAGGGCCAAAAAGACTCAGAAAGATTAAATGACTTGTATAGATCATAGAGATAGAGGGTCACCCTGACCCCGGAGCCTCCTTCTGTCACCTCTGCAAAGGGAGGCCTTGATTCCATGGCCTTTGTAACCCTTCCAACACAGATAGCATCTTCTTTAGAGTGGCGTTCCTTTTCACATCTATGGGGATAATTGCATGCCACTGGTAAACTCTGGCCCTAATTACTAACAGAGATGTTTTCACTACTCCCAAAATAAACACCATGAAACAAAGATTATATCTGTCTTTGCTATAGACAATCCCCCAGTGACCAGAAAAAAATCTGCACACTTAGTTGACAATCTGAAAATATTTGTCAACTAAATAGATGTTTTTATGATAACTAAGTGAATGCTTTAACACAGGAGAAATTGTACATGTCTTAAAGGGAGCATATGTGTTTTGAGACCTGTGTCTTTGCCAAATCAACTTAGGACTGAAAGCTCCTGCAATTGCTGGGTGAGCAGGGAGAAAAGGGCTTCATAAATCAGCACTATAGATCACACCAAAAGCCCTGTGCCAGGCTCTGTATGAGATCCTCCGGGGAGTCCATTGTTGCCTATGTATGACCACCAGGTGGCAGTGTATGGTATCGCAAGCCTAGAGCTGAATTCATTCTGTCCAATGCCATCTGACAGCCTTTGCATGGTCTTATTCCTTGGAAATATCTATATGGTGCTTATGAGTATGAAATGAGATTCCTTTCAAAGTACTGCATGGAAACCTAATTGTGTTCTTGTTCTTGCTGAATATTTAAACAGGGAGGTTGAGAATTGAGTTCAGTTTAATAGCTGAAACTGACATCATGCACCATGTAGGAAAACCTGCTTTACAGATTCCTCTTTAAGACTCCATTTGGGTGAAACCTATCTATGCATGGAAGGCTCCTGGCTGCCCTAGGAACAGCACCAGGCTTCATGGATTAGGAATTACTTTTTTCCAGGCTTCAGGAATTACATTATTATTTTTTTTAATGTAGATGTGCACTGGTTTCTCTAAAATTGGTGGCAAGGATGGGCTTAGATAAATATAGTGTAGATTCAGATTATGGTTGATGAATTTACAGTCCCAATGTAATCCTTGATCGGTAGGGTTGATTTGAGATGTAAAAAGACCTTTAATTATGGTGGAGAAGTAAAAGTGTCAACTAGTAGTCAGGAGAATTGATTTTAGTCTCAGTTCTGTATGACACGAGCTCTGAGACCTCACCTCTATAAGTATCAATATTCTGTGGAGAAAAATGTGCTAATAGTGCCTTTTCACAGGACTGCCTCAAGGCTAAAATGATATACATGCCAGTATCTCTTCCCTCTATTTTCATTTCTTTCTTTCTTGAAGACAGTATAGCACCCTGTTGACCTATGTTGGCCTGAAGCACATGATCCTCCTGTATCTTCAGCTTTCCAAGTGCTGGATTACAGGCATTTAGTACTATGCCTAGTTTACAGATCAGTATTTTCTTTCTTTGAATTCTTCACAAGCAACTCTCCCAATGTTTGACATATCTAGGTAACAACTTAAGTAAATAACACCTGTTATTTGCTTGTTTTATTCACTTTAAAAACTATCAGAACAGGGCTGGGAAGGTGGCTCAGTGGTAGAGTGCATGCCTTGCATGCCAGAGGCCCTGGGTTCAATTCCTCAGCACCACATAAGCAAAAAGAAAAAAGCCGGAAGTGGCGCTGTGACTCAAGTGGTAGAGCGCTAGCCTTGAGTTGAAGAGCTGAGGGACAGTGCTCAGGCCCAGAGTTCAGGCCCCATGACTGGACCCAAAAAAAAAAAAAACTATCAGAACAATCTGAACAATCTACCTTGCTGCTCTCAGTCAAGGAAATACTTGTAGAAATCTAATTTCAAGGTAATAATGCATTTGCTTATTGTGTGATAAATGGAAAAACATCTCAGTGTAGTTTGGCTATAGGTTTTTATGCATCCACTCATAAAATTAATGGACTTGTATAAAGTAGACTAACCTACAACTTTGAACTGAAGAGGTGAGGGGCAGTGCCTAGGCCCAGAGTTCAAGCCCCATGACTGACAAAAAGAACAACAACATCAAATACAGTGAAAACAGGGGTTATACCGTGGGGGACGGACATACAAAGCAATAGAGAAAATCTTATAAACATGTTAGAAACAATAGCAAGAAAGAGAAAAACAGTTGAGTCCTTCTCTTGGGGTTCATAAAAAATGATATGCAAAAAGAACAATAGCAACAACAACAAAAACCCAAACAAAATTCAGCATAGGTCTTATAAAACTCAATACCTTTACCTGTATTTAATGTCACAACTTTGATTCCACATTGATTTGTGCATAAACATTTCAGTTCCTTAGTATGTATTTTTAGTGTTAAGTCAATAAACAGCTGTATCTTAAAATAGAAATTTGCATTACATGTTTGGTAGGTCTTCAGTGTTCCTAGGGTAAAGTTGGATGTTTGGAGAAATAAGCTACACATTCAATTGAGAAAGGTTGTTTGATGGGTCTTTTTATTTTAGTTTTGTAGGGTTAAACTGAGAGCCTCACATTCTCATTTGCTTTTTTGGTCAAGACAGCACTCTTCTACTTGACCATTCTCTACTTTTGTTTTTCTTGTGGTCTACTTGGGGATAAAGAGTCTCATGGATTTATCTGCCCAGGCTGGTTTCTTTTCATTTTTTTTTGTTTTGTTTTGCTTTGGTTTTTTTTTTTTTTGGGGGGGTGTCCGGGTTGTGGGGCCTGAACTCGGGGCCTGAGCACTGTCCCTCAGCTCTTGAGCTCAAGGCTAGTGCTCTACCACTTGAGCCACAGCGCCACTTCTGGCTTTTTCTGCTTATGTAGTGCTGAGGAATCAAACCCAGGGCCTCATGCATGTAAGGCAAGCACTCTACCACTGAGCCATCTTCCCAGCCCCCCCAGGCTGGTTTCTAACCATGATCCTCAAAACTCAGCCATCTGAGTAGCTAGGATTACAGGCATGAACCACCAGTGTTGAACACTCTGTGGGTCTTTAGTTATCCACGACACATTGAGCACCAATGTGGAATTGTTGTAGAAAACAAATTGAGTCCTTAAGAACCATCAGTCTGGTTGGAGAAAAGAAGTCATTGAAAATAACATGTTTATTGCCAAGTGCTGGTGGCTCTCACCTTGCTGCTGAGGAGGCTGAGATCTGAGGATCACAGTGTGAAGTCAACATAAGCAGGAAAATCCTTGAGACTCTCATCTCTAATGAATCAATAAAAAGGCAGAAATGTTGGCATGTGTGGTTCAAGTTTTAGAGCACTAGTCTTGAGTGAAAATGCTAAAGGACAGCTCCTCCTAGGTCCTGAGTTTAAGCCCTAGTGTATACACACACACACACACACACACACACACACACACACACACACACAGTATTATTAAGTCATGAAAAATATGACTAAAGAAAAAGAACAAGGAGGTATTTATCTGGGAGGACCTCTCTTAACTATGTGGCTTTTAACTATGTGTTTTAATGAGGATGCTGCTCAAGTGCCTGTATATGGAATTTTGCCCTAAAAGTTACATGAAGTGCTTCCATCTAAGGAATACAATCTTGAACAATTCTTACTTTTGATCAATTTTATTTTGATCAACTTGAAAGGAATGAGGTCAAGTAATTTCTGTATTACCTTCATTAATCCAGCAACATTTTTGAAGTACTTAACTACGCTTGTAGATTATGCCAATGTCCTAAGAAGGGGGTGTGAATACAAATGTGAACTGTCCACTTCATTTTCTCTTAAGAGCGAGGGCATGAACATTTCAGCATAGGGCTGGATATGAAACTCCGTGGTTGGTCTCTGTCACAGTCCCTCTGGTTTGCTGTCATGATGGGAAAGCTCATGGTAGGTACATGAATGGGCCCGACAACCTTCTAGGGAACTTGGTTAACTCAAGAAGTGGAAGGATGCATTTGGTTTACTGGCTATAGTGTACCAGTTGCTTAAAAGCTGGATTGGAGTAGAGGAAACAAAATAGAAACCGTAATGACATGTCTGAGAACACCAAAGAGTGGCTACTTGGGGATGATTCTTTCACATGATCTGGTAGCAACAGTGCTTGGGAAGTCTTCCTGGAGAAGGTGATATCCTAGAAGATTCTCACCCAGAGTGATAATTGGGGGAAGAAGTGTCAGACAGAAAATTGGGGTATGAGTGGTGAGCATTTCAAATTCCCAACAGCAGAGCTGAGAGGTGTGTGGAGAGAATTATACACTGTCTTGAATTTTTACAGGTTAAATGACAAAGCCAGGAGATGGTGGCTCCCACCTGTAATGCTACTACTTAGCCATATTTAATTTTAAAAAAAGAGAGGCCATATACTAAGGGAGTGAAATGAGGACTAAATACTGAGCTTGAATAAAAGGGTAAAAGTTTGCAAACTTACCAGGAAGTATGGGGATGAAAAAAAGTATGAAGATCATATTAAGAAATTATGAGCTTCTTGGACTGGGAATGTGGCTTAGTAGTAAAGCGCTTACTTACCACCATGGATGAAACCCTGGGTTTGATTCCTCAGTACCACATAAATAGCAAAAGCTAGTAGTGGAACTGTGGCTTAAGTGGTAGAGCACTAGTCTTGAGGAGAAAAAGAAACTCAGGAATAGTGCCCAAACCCTGAGTTCAAGTCCCAGGACTGGCAGAATAAAAAGAAAACAACGAAAACAGAGAAATTACCAGCTTCCTCTCCTGGAATTGTAGACTCCAGATTTCACGGTAAAATGAATTTTCCCGGAGATGCTTGGCTGCTTGGTTAGAAGAGCAGAAAGAAATCTGTCGAGTTGAACCAAGTTCATGTGCTAACACCTGGGGAGAGAAAGCAAGACAGGATCAGTCTTATGATTCTGGGATACATCCTCATTTTTATCTCCTACCCTGGGACTTTTAAGCCCTCAATAATGACAGCTCCCAGAGAAGTTTCCCTGTTCCTTTTTGGTTCCAAGGCAAATCAAATCCCTACTATCACCCAATATTTTCTTTTCTTTTCTTCCTACTTGGACTTTATTCACTTGACGATGGAGTGCACCAGAAAGTCACCATGACACTTGAACAAGTAGAAGTGAGTGGGAATGTGCATGATACCCTGTAGGCTTGAACAATACAAAATCTGTGCAACATTCAGCAGTGGTCCTGGCCAAACAAACAGCATGCTCATCCCTTTGTTGATGTCCAAAGTATGAGAAGGTTGAGCTAGGAATGAAGCAAACTGTTCGCCAGTGTTTGGAGTGTCTACATCTTCTTATAAACACTCTATTTTTGGATATACAAAATTGAAGAAATGAACATCAGTGGTCCTAGTTTCTGGACTAGAACCCAGGAGTGTGTATTCATGCTCAGTTCTTTGGATCAGCCCTAGTGTTTTACCAATGGAGCCATGCATCTAATCCAGCATTTTGGTGATTAGTGATGGAGTGTCGTAAACTTTGCTGCCCAGGATGTTTTGAATTGTGGTCCTCCATGTTTCAGCCTCCGGAATAGCTAAGATAAGGGGTATGAGACACACATTTCATATTCTTAAGCCTAGAAAGCCAGTATGTGGGATGAATGAATGGATTATTTCTTTTCTGTTTACTGTACTTCACTATATAGTAGATATTGGTTCCATGTTTCCTGGACTTCTCCAAAGTAGCTTATGCATTTCATTAGGAGGAACTTAATGCATGCATAGTCACAAACTATCCCCCACCCCCCCATCCCCATCCCCAGTACTGGAGCCTGAAATCAGCGCCTGGGAGCTGTGTTTGAGCTTGTTTTTTTTTTTTTTTGTTTTGTTTTTGATGATGTTGTTTGGTTTTATTTTGCTTAAAGCTAGCATTGTACCACTTGAATAACAGCTCCACTTCAGGCCTTTTGGTGATTAATTGGCAATAAGAGCTTTAATGATCTTTTCTGACCGAGTTCGCTTCAAACTGATGTTCTTGAATAGCTAGGATTATAGGAGTGAGTTACAGGCACCCAAAACAAACTTTTTTAAAGGACCATTCTTATTAGCATGTAATTAGTTGTCTAAGGAAAGGTCTCGTGATAGTTCCATACATGCATGCAATGCATCTCAATTAAACACTCTCTCCATCACTTTCTTTTGTTCCCTTCTTGAAACAAATGTAGGCAGGCACTGGTGGTTCATACCTGTAATCTTAGATACTCAGAAGCCTGAGACTGGAGGATCTTGAATCAAAGCCAACTGGGACAGAAAAGTATGTGAGACACTTATCTCCAATGAATTAACAAGAAGCCAGAAGTAGACCTGTGGATCAAGGGATAGAACAATAGCTTTGAGCAGAATAGCTCAGGAACAAGGTCTGCTGGATCCTGAGTACAAGCCCCCCGTCTCTCTCTCTCTCTCTCTCTCTCTCTCTCTCTCTCTCTCTCTCTCTCTCTCTCTTTCTCTCTCTTTCTCTCTAACTCTCTCCCAAACTCAACAAGTTTCATAGTCCTTTATTAATACACTCATAAAGCATTTGTACCACATTCACCCTCATTCAGCTTCCCTCTTGGCCTTCCCTCATATTTTACTTTCCTATCATTCATTTTCTTTTCATTTTTTAGTGTAACTTAGGGCAACAGTGAGGTTTCTATATGCCTTTTCACCAGTACATATATTATAATTTAGTCCGATTCACCTCTTGTATTATACTTTGTTTCCATATCCTTCTACCACCACATTCAGTAGCTTGCAGTGTGTCTCCTTACACCATTTTCTTACCTAGACACAATGTATCTTAATCTTATTTATACCCTATCATTCTCTCTCCCTTTCATTCCAATATAGTTCCACATTTAAATCATGTTATCTAGTCATGTCTATAAAAATGTTTATATCTAGATATGCATATCTTTCTAAGTCTAGATGGGTAAAAAATGTGATACTTGGCTCTTGGAGCTTGACTAACAAATGAGATACATCCTCCCCCGACCCCCATCCTCTCTTAGACCTATAAATTTATTTTGGCTTTCAGGGAAAGCAAAGCAGCTAAAGCAGAGCTACTTAAGAGACTGAGATCTGAATATCACAATTGGAAGTGAACTCAGGTAGGAAAGACCATTAAGACTCTTACTGCTAATTAAACACCAAAAGTCCAGAAATGGAGCTGTTATTCAAGTGGTAGAGCAAAATTAAAACAAAAACAACATCATGAAGAAATTGCTTGCTTGCATTCCTCTTCATAGAGTAGTGGACATGAGTGTGGTTGGATCTAGGTTACAATTCTAGATTCCACACTTATATACCTGACTTGTAATTTTAAGCTGCAATCCCGTGTGTGTGTTTGAATAATAATAAATAAAAGACAATTCTTAGGATGATTATTAAGAATAAAATGAACCAATGTAGATAGATTTGGATGATCCTTACACAATAGAAAACCAAGATTTGGAGATTTCAAACATGTGTAATTATTCTTTGCAACAACAGGTATCATTTTTTGCATTCAAGAAGCATTACTGATGTGTTCTTACAGATTTTCTATATGGGAAAAACAACATGTAAGAATTGATTCATAGGAACTTTTTTTGTTTGTTTTTTTTTGTCAGTCATAGTGCTTGAACTTTGGGCCTGGGAGCTGTCCCTCAGCTCTTCAGCTCAAGGCGAGCACTCTACCAGTTGAGCAACCATGACACTTCCAGTATTCTGAGTAACTTATTGGAGATACTAGTGTCATGGCCTTTCTTGTCCAGGCTGACTTTGAACGGCCATCCTCAGGTCTCAGCCTCCTGAGTAGCTAGGATTACAGACATGAGCCACTGGCACCTGGCTCATAGGCACTTTTATAAACACTGAAGTACTTGAACTGTTGAATCAGGTCATTCGACTTGGAATGGACGAGCTTGACAGATTGCCTGCTCTGTGGGAGTTTTTGTTTGTGTGTATCATTTATCTCTATGATTTAGAAAGCCTGTGCTTATACATCTTCAGACACACTTAGCAGAGATGGTTAATCAAGCCAGAAGCCAGGGGCCATCCCCAGATGCTAGTCTGCGCCACTTTGAAATTCACTCACTCTCCGAGCTGACTTCCATCCATCACTCTTCTTTGGGGACAGGTTTCTGCAGAGATATAGTACCTGTGAGTCTTGGCCTCATCTGGTCTCAAACTACTCTGTCATAAGAAACCTAGCCAAGGACCTCTTTTTCTTCACCCATCTTTCTGGATGGAAGTTAAGATTTCTGTCTCACAAAGCAAAAGGCCATACTATTTGGAACCACAGTCTCTGGTCCTGCGTGCAGTAAAGCGAGTTCAGAATGTAACATCCCCTGCTGCTGACCTTGTTACAGCTGGATGCATTTTACCAAGGTGGTCTCATCCTCTTTCTGGTCATTGTTTCAATCACTGCAGGGCACTCATCTGCAGTGGAAAGATGCAGCAGCCTGGTTCTGTTGCATGATAGGAATGAGAGTCTCTGCTGGAGGAGACTGTCTGCTAAGCCATCAGACTTGGAAAAAAGTTGAGTTTTTGCCATTTGGGACATGGTTTCTGCATAGTCTGTAGGAATGGCCATCTGCTGCCCTTGGGTATTATTTTCTCATTGGTGAAGTTGAGCCCAGCTGATTATTATTCAGAAACCAAAAGAGATAGATTCAAAACCTGGACTTGAGTCAGAGTCATTTCCAGGCTTGACTACTTCCCACTCATGTCTTCCAGCTGTCATCTGGAAGCTGCATCTCCTTGTCATGGGGCCTTCTCCATAGACTGCTCACACATGCATTTGTTTCACCCAGAGCAAAGGGTATAGGAAAATGAGAGAAAGCAGGAGAGAGCAAGAGAGAGCAAGAGAGAGAGAGATGGTACTGTGGCAACAGCTATTTATATTGCAAGCTGAGAAATGATATCTCTCATTTCTGCCATGTTCTATTCACTAGAAACGGTAACTAGACATGGCCATATCTGAAAAATGAGAGATTGCAGGCGATTGTCAGGACTGGTATGGTTTTGACCTGGAACTTCCTTTCAGAGTGTGTTCCCTTAAGGGGACATGCTCGGCTAGTGGCTCATGGATCCTGAAATGAAGGGACAGTCTACACCTCATCTATGCTCTGTCATATTCAGTGCCTGAATGAGTCTGTGCCCAAGGTACCTGGTCTCAGAGAAGGTTGGGTGTGCCTGGCCCTGGTTGGAACCACCCTGAGGCTAAGGGCCACTGAATGGGACAGGGAAAAAAAGGAAATTCAGAAAAAAAGCTTAAGAGACATAGAAGACATGAAACAGCCTAATGTGTGTGGAGAGTCTAGGGAATCTAGGGAGAACTTTATGGAAAAAGATAATGGGCCAGTATTCTCTCCATTGGGAGTTTTCCAGTCATGCCAGTGTACTCCTATAGTACTGCCAGTGAGAGGCGGGAAGAACATAAATATCAGAATAGCTTGGGCTACATCACCCAATTCTATCTCAGAAAGGAAGGGAGGGACAGACAAAAGGGACGAAAAAGTGCAACAAGCAAATGAAGAGAAAAGGAGGAACTAGTTAAGAAAAGGAAGGATAAACAGGAAAGAAAGGAGAAAGAGAATTTGAAGAACCAAGAATAGGGAAAAAGTATACATTGGGATGTCTAAATAACCCTCATGTATGACTCAACAATGATAAATGGCAGCAACTACTTAGGGAGAATTTTTTAAAAAATAAAGTAGTAGGTGACAATATTTGACCAAATGAAATAGGGTTATGGAGGAACAGCTCTCTGAGATTCATCTGTAAGTGAACTTCCTGGGTGTTTTAGGGTAAGAGGGTTTTTTTTTTTTTTTTTTTTTTTTTTTTTGGAACTAGGTCTTGCTATGTAGCCCAGGTTGGACTGTAGCTCACTATAAAGGCCAAGCTGGCCTCAATCTCTGAACTTCCTGCCTCTGCCTTCTGCATTCTGTGTTTGTGAATATGGCTTTATTACACCCACCTCCTTTTTAATGCTGTTGTTGTTGCCAGTCCTGGGACTGGAACATAGGGCCTGGGTGCTGTCCCTGAGCTTTTTTGCTTAAGGCTAGCTCTCAACCACTTTGAGGCATAGAGACACTTGAGGTTATCTGGTCATTGTCAAGAAGAATCTCATGGACTTTTCTGCCCAGTCTGGATTCAAACCGAAATCCTCAGATCTCAGCCTCCTGAAAAGGTAGAATTACAGGTGAGAGCCACCAGTGCCTGATACATCAATAATTGTTTTCCCTTACAAAGACCTGTCAAGTTGCTGGGTAGTGGTGGCTCATGCCTACAATCCTAGCTACTCAAGAGGCTGAGATGTGAGGATAGCAGTTGAAAGCCTGCCAAGGTAGGAAAGTCCATGTGACTGTTATCTCCAATAAACTACCAGAAAACCCAGAAGTGGCACTGTGGCTCAAGTGGTAGAGTGCTAGGCTTTAGCTGAAGAACTGAAGAACAGCACCCAGGTCCAGAGTTCAATTTCCATGGCCAAAAATAAATGAAATAAAGAATAAAAGACCTCTCAAGTAGAATAAACTTCAGGTGCATACAATAGAAGTCTGCTTCTGAGGTAGACATATTTTGTGTATGGTTTTTATTAGAACAATTATAGATACATTAAAATTCGAGACAATGGTACTAAAAGATATAAAAGCAAGATACTTTATTCCTAACCTGTGAGGGTTAAGTAAAGATTTAAAAAAGTGAGTAAGCGAATCAAAAACAGTAAAAAGAGGTACAAAGCAGCACAGGAACCCATACAAACTGGAATCAGAAATGAGAATGGCAGATGTGGACAAAACTATGACTTCATCTTGGATGTCTGGTCTCTCTTCTCAAGTGGAAAGAAATTTTTGAGTTGAATCGTTACAAAGTCTCCATATCTCAGGCTCTCTTGAAATTAGATGTAGACCGGGCTATGTGAAAAGGACAGTGTTATAATTTCTGTACAAAGATAGTCTCTGTAATAACCCATGGGGCCCCGGTAATCAGCGGGGCCCAATAGTGTGGCCCCATGGTCCGGCTGCTGGATGGGGAGCAGCATCAAGAGTCAAGCCTCACAACTCCACAGATCAGGCCACTGGACAGAGTAGGGCATTGAGAGGCTGATGTCACCACCCCAAGGGGCACTGGAGGGGCGTGCTATGGCTGGGGCATGCCATGGAAATGGGAGGAGCATGCCACCAAAAGGGGCGGGGCATGCTCCTGAGACATGCACATAGGGAGCTGCCTATTGGGATTGGACTTGGGCTGCTTGGGGGAGGATCATATCAGTTTGAAACCATTAGTGGGGCAGAGGTGCAGCCTATCTGGGTGTATATAGGCTGCATGCTCCAAGGCTAGTGGGGAGGTTAGGGGGAAAACACATTGGGAGGGAGGAGGGACACCTGGACTCCTGTGGAGAGGGGAGTCAGGAGGAGACCAAGGGTCCTGAAGAGAGGAGAGTAAGGGAAAGACTGGGAGTCCTGAGGCAGGAATTGAGTGTGGAGGAAGGAGAGGAGTGGGAGTGGAGGGGGAGAGATGGCAGGAGGGGAAAGCCTGCCACAGTAGGGCAGGGCAGACCTGTGGAGGACAGGGCAAGACTTGAGAGGCCATTTGGGGCTTCTTGAGGGGCCATTTGGGACCTCCTTGAGAGGTCCTTTGGGGCTTCTTAAGGAGCTACTCAGGGACTTTTTTTGGGGGGGTGGTCTGGTTGCAGGGCCTAAACTCTGGGCCTGGGCACTGTCCCTCAGCTCTTCAGCTTAAGGCTAGCGCTCTACCACTTGAGCCACAGCACCACTTTCGGCTTTTTTTCTTTTTGCTTATGTGGTGCTGAGGAATCGAACCCAGGGCATCATGGATGCAAGGCAAGAGCTCTACCACTGAGCTGTCCCAGTCCTTCAGGGACTTCTTGAGGGGCCATTTGGAACATCCTCCTGAGGTCACTCAGGGCCTCTTTGAGGGGCCTGTTGGGGCCTCCTTTGGAGGTCATTCAGGGCCTCCTCTGGAGGCCATTTGGGATCTCCCTCTAGAGAGGCCTGTGGACAGTGGAGAGGCCTGTATGTGGGGGAGGGAGGAAAGTAAGGGAAAAGCTTTCCCCTTTGGAGCTTTGGAGCTTTGGAGTTCTGAGGTTTGGAGGTTTGCAGACTGACTAATTGGTGGTTTGAAGACCAACCAATAAAAGTTGGAGTGTCAGGACTGCCTATTGGAGGTTTGAAGGTTTGGTGGTTGAGGCTGCTCTTGGTTCTGAGTATCTAAAAGGGCAAGGTAGTCTCAAGACACCTTTCTGGTATAAATAGTGTAAATAAACTTGTTTTGTTCACTTCTCACTGTGCTTCCGGGGATTGTCTCGCTGTCTGGGTTCATCAATACCCCACTGGGTGATGTCTTCACAGGGGCCATCCTAGGATGGCCATCCTAGGATGCCCAACCCCGAAGAAAGATGAGGGCCACTGGCCAATGTCCTCATGGTTCCCACATAGCAGTAAGAGCATCCTCCCATGTGCCCAGTGTCGTTGGCAACAGACTTCCTGGCCCAAGTACCTAACTGCCAGCGGGTGTGCACTGGGCTCTGATTGGTCCACTTCCTCACTGATGTCAATGGTCTGACTTGTGATTGGTCCATTTCCCCCTGGCATAACAGGGCATTGTGAGATGTGCCCAACAGGGTACATATGAGGCAGCTGCTCTCCAGCTTTTTCAATTACAGTGCTGGGAGCTCTTCCTTGGTGACCTGATGGACTAACTCAGAGCTACTTGATTGCTTTCTTTGGGTGTGTGTGGGGGGGTGGTTGTGTTGTTTGGGTTTGGGGATTTCATTTACTCCTCTGAGGGATGTGTTTACTTGTTAGTTGGTAGTTTACCTTCCTTTTCTTAAGATTTATTAGTTGTCAACTTCATTTAGATCATCTAGGTAATTCTTAAGCTTGATCACTTGCCATCCCAGGGACAAGGTGTTAATGTACAACTTTAGTTCCTCCCCCAAGGAGGAGGAGATCACTGTCATTGCACAGTATAACTTGACAAATGTGGCTATGTGAAGCTGGCCCATCACTGCCTCACAGACACCACAGTGGCGGTCAAAGTTCTCCCAAAGAAAGATCTGAAAAGCCATGAGATAGAAAACGAGGTAGCCATTGTGAAGAGTGTACGTCACCCGCACATCATCCAATTGTTCCAGGTGATGGAGGATGAGGACTGTGTGTACCTTGTCACTGAGCTGGCCACTCGGGGCCATCTTTTGGGGGGGGGCTCAATAAATCCCTTTGCAGACGCCTATTCGAGTATGAAGCCAAGAGGTTGTTCAAGCAAATCAAGAGTGCCGTTCACTACCTTCATGAGAACGGAATTGCATACCTAGACCTGAAGGCCGACAACATCCTGTTTGACACCAATCACAATGTCAAGGTCAGTGATTTTGACATTAGCATCAGGGTGACCCCAGGGCAGTTGCTAAAGGGGGTTTGTGGAGCCTTGCTATTCCACCCCCTGAAATGTTCCTACAGAACATGTTCAGTGAGTACAAGGTGGACATTTGGGGACTTAGGCGTGCTTTTGTATATGATGACAACGGGAAAGTTCCCATTTGAGGGGAATAAGATGACTTAGATATGGAAACAAATCCTAGAGGCCAGGTACACCGGTCCCCTTTACCAACTGCAATGGGCCATGATCTCCTTCCTAAACTGCTGACTGTGGGCTTCAATCTGAGGCCTGCTATTGAGGAGATAATGGAGCACCCATGGCTGGCTCTAGATGTGGGATTTGGCCTGCTTCCTGATGAGCCACTGCCCAGCAAGCTGGACCCCATTATTGTCACAGTCATGTGCAACATGGGGTACACCATAGCTGGTATTGAAAAGACAATCCAGGACAGAGCATTCAATGAAGCCATGGGCACCTACCTGCTCATCCAAGAAAACTTAAAGGAGAATACCAGAAGTGTGGAATCAAAAATGATGCTTTTGGCTAGTCCACCATACACAACTCCTGAGGAGATTCCCACCAGCCCTCTCCCTCCACAAAAAAGAGCCACCTTTTCTACAGGACGTGACGCCTTCAGCTTGTCCTCAAAATTTCAGTTACCTCTGAAGAGAACCTGAAGTGCCAGTCTGCCTGTCCTTCCACTCTACAACCTGTAGAGCTCCAGTTCCAGCTTCATTTGGGGCCCAGATTCTTTTAGCTGGTCGGGCACACTAGACAGTTTCCACTCAGTGGAAAATGCTCTTCCCTCTGGGCATCCTCAGGGGGAGGCCATAGCCCCCAGGTGGAACATTAGACAGGGCTGGAGGAGGGTGGCTAACAGGATAGTCACCATTTTTTGCAGACTCTGCTGCTGTGTGAAGGCCCCAAAGTAATGTCCACAAATTGAGAGTAAAGCTGTCCCAGAGAAAGCGGTGCAGAACTCTGAAACAGCACAATTGAAAGCCACTGGACTCAGACCTTCGGGGTGACTCTAACTGGGGTATGGAAAAGCAGATGTGGAATTGAAGAGCTGCAGGTGGGAAAGGAGTCGTGCAGGAAGTTCATACTGTGGAGATCTCAGGCCAGCATGACCAGGTTGTGTGACAACTGCTAGGGAATTCTCCGGTAGGGATTCCTTCCGGAGAAAGGACAGCTGACATCACCAAGGCTTTCCAATGCTGAAAGGTAAGCTGAAAGGTGGCCTTAAGCTGCTGTACTTTCTGAGCTTGGCATTTCCACATCGATTCCTTACTTAAGATTATTGTCACTTTATTGAACAACCTTTCCCATTTGTCCCCTGAACACTAAGGTGTTCTTGTCCCAAACGCTTCAGATTATCTCACCTTCTAGGTAGGTTGCTTGTGTCCCCACTTGGTAGTTTATTTATTTAGGTTTTTTTTATTGTAAACATACTGTACAGAGGGGTTACAATTACATAGGCAAGATAATGAGTACATTTCCTATCAAGCATTGTAGCCTCCTCTTTGTTTACCCTTCACATC